TTTACATTTTATATTTTTATACAATGAAAACAGGCAATATAATAGTTTCTTTAAAAATTCATTAATATTGACAAATTCATTAGAATTTATTAATTCATTAGTATACATCTTCTCTATGTCAATTTTATGAGTTTATTGAATATCTACTTTCCCTGTATAATTATTTAGGACATTTCTACAATAATCAATGTATAATCTGTCTTTAATACCACCATGACAAAATACATGTATGTCTAAATTAAAACATGCCTAACAGAACAACCAATGTATCTTCATATGACAATGTGACCGATTTATTTTTACATATTATTTCAATATCAATTATTGAACTGCAATCTGACATGAAAAAAAAAAATCACGTAGTTCGCGACATTGCATTAAGACATTGGATTAAGCTGATCCACTGATAAAGCAGTTAGACGAGCAATTGTCATCGACAATGGTCTATAGAAGTAATTACAGTTTCTATTTTCGTATCTGTCTCCCAGTTGGTAACCTAGTCTTAATACTGGTACATGCAACGTACTGCTCCCTGAATAATGTTCTAACTTGCATCGTGAAGTTTTTTTTCATCGTTTTCCATTTCTCGTTGAATCGAACACGGTTCCTAACACGGTTCTAACAGCGCGAGTTCGATTACAGTATCTTCTGAGTCACTTTTGTGTAACTGATTGAAACAATCGGATAGAAAACCCCGATGATCGGATCGAGTCGAGTTCCCGAGTTCTTTTAAAATTCCTAAATATTTCTCGAGAGAGTTGGGTTTCCTTGAAACTTTTGAAATTATAAAAGACAGTCTATGGGGCAAAAGTATAATATAATAACCAAATGATACGTGATACCTAGATGTAATATTTTATTTTAAATTTTCGTGTAAAAAAGCGTGTAGAAAATTTTCTAATTTCATCCTGCTTTCTATAACGATATAAAATAAAACGAGATACCCAATTTTCGAACTACACAAACAATTTTGTGTCTCTTGTGAACGAATTTCGAAATGTTGAAGACATTCATTTGTTAGTTTCATGACAAGTAACGAAATTTATCAGGAATGATAAATCGAGAGAAATGTTTCAAAGCAAAGTACATCTCGGCTGTTTCGATTACAATAAACTTATAAAAGCTTATTCGATGTTTTCGAATAGTAAAAATTAAGTCAAATTTTTCGATTCTCTAAGTAGTAGTATTACTTATAAAATAAGATACATAACATAATGGAACTGTACTGTATGAAAATGATCTACATTATAATTCCTTGTCAAATGAAAAGATTGATTCAACAAAAAAAAAAAAAAGTTCCTTGTTCATCGTTATTCAGTACCCTAATAGCGACGCAGAAGAATATTGATATCTTCAAGTACATCGTTGTTTTCTTTCATCGAATTAAGAATATTGAGTTCAAGTGATAAGACGTCGACCTGATTTGAAAATACTTTATCCTACAAATCGAAGTTCATAATATTTATAATTTAATGTAATACATAGGTGTTCTGAAATATATAATATTTATACAATATTATATACTAAGTATTAGATACTAATTATATAATAATATTAATTATATATCTGAACAATGTATGACTACATATTTATATGTAATATCTATAATGATTATATAATATGATTACAATATACAGAAATTTATTGGACAAAAATGAAAGTTATTTATAATGATATACTGTTTAATTATTAATAAATTGCATAATATTATCTTCTTTAACTTCAATATTGCTGCGAGTATTTATTACATAAAGAAATATTTATAGTTACATGTCAAAAAAATTTTAATGAATCATGTCATTATTATATAAAAGTAATATCATATCACTAAAGCTATGAATATTATTCAAATAGTTAGAAATTAATTTTTATTTACAACTGTTCCTGAAATTCACTGCTTTTCAAAGTCATAAGATATAAGATATAGACAAACTATTCAATCTTTCTAAAATTTTTCTATTTATCAATAACTATTTCATGTAATATTTTTCTCTTTCTTTCTTTGTTTATTTTTCAAATATTGTTAAGATTATTTCAACACTTAATGACAAGATAATAAACATCTTTGTGATTCTCAGTATATTAAGTAATTATTGTAATTTTATTAAAAGCAATTGAAAAACTTTTGTGTGTGTGTGTTTTTAATGAAAAATGAATGCGACAAAATGACAAAACTGAAAGCTAGTGAAAAGATCAGGCCCTTAGAATATGGTAAATAATTATTATATTCTAATAATTATTGTGTAAAATAATTGATTACAACAATTATTACCAATAAAAAATAAATCGTTATTATAAAAGCAATCATTATCAATAAAAATCATGAAAATCATCCATGAAAAGAAAGAGGAGAATCGTCCATAGTCCATTAGTATAATCATGCAGTGTACGCAGTTCTAAAAGTTGCATCAAATTCGATATTGACATTACGTCAAATTGCACTGGAAGCTATATTTACAAATGTATATTTACAATTACAAAACATACAAATCTATTTTATGAAAATATGACAAGATTCATAGAAGAAAACCACTATTTATACATGCATGACGGTAATTCGTAATTCATGAGAATTGTTACAATGTAATTGATAATTTCGATAATTTATAAATCATATTTTTAGGTGAAGAAAAGATTTACACTTGGTCTAATGCTCATAATACTATTTTCATGATTTTAAAAAGAGATTAACAGTATAAAATGCTAAATCAAATTAAAGATTAACAATTAAATGCTAAATAAAACGGTAGGTGTAGTTTTCACAGTAACTGGATGTAAAGAAAAGACGAATATTGGACTTATAGATGGAGAAATGGAAAGTATAGATTACATGAAACTCATAAACAAGAAAATAATAGCACGTGTATAAGCATATAATTAGATAAAAATTCGTAATACAACGCTGTATAGCGACAAAAATTAGAATAGAAAATTATTTTGATACTCATAATATGAAAGTTTTATGTTCTATTTTTGAAATAAAAATAGAATTTAAATTTGAAATAGAACTTTAATTGAATTTACATTTAATTGAATTAATTGAACATTAATTGAATTTATGTGAATTTTATAACATTTTATAACATTCTTAACATTAATTGAATTTATGTGAATTTTATACAAAATTTTATAACATTCTTAACATTAATTGAATTTATGTGAATTTTATACAAAACGTCAAACCTACAATATTTTTGTAAATTAGGAGGGGGAAAAGGAGAAAATACATACACAACATCGAAATTCGAGTAAAACATTTGTTTTTAAATTAAATTATCATTTTTCGTAACTTATCATTTGGACCCAAATCATTTTGCTGCATTTATTTTTACAGTAAATTTATATACAAATTTTTCAGAAATTTGAAAATTCAAAAACTTAAAAGTGTCATTTCGTCGCGGAATTAATTCCAACTGTATGAGAGAGATTGATAATATTCTTCGTTTATAATATTCTTCGTTTTATCAAATAATGAGGTCAAGTTTGTTCATTTGATCTGAAAGAGAAACATTTCGATCAATATAAAATTGCGAAACGCTTGCTATCCCAAGCTGGATATTTAAATACTTTAAAATTAAATACTTTGAATAGAAACTTTCATATTATAAAAATTTCTAATTTAGTAAACATAAATGTAAACGCTATACATTATATTGTTTATATGAAATAAAAATAATATACATGCCTATTTAAAATAATCTAATGATTGTTTTATTTATACCAGCTTTTGCACTTGTATGTCTACGTTGCATACATTTTATCTGAATAATTACTAATATCTTCAAATAATTAGAAATGAACTTCTTCATAATATTATTTTCGAGAATTATTATTTACAACATATTGCATGATGATAATCACCATCAACAAGTAATAATAAATAACTGTTTTTTTTTTCAAATTCCAATTTCAATTACTAACTTTTATTCTACAAACAACTAAACCAAAAACTGATAGCATAAGAAATCAAATAGAATTTCTTACTCTCTGAACTATTGGAAGCTCACGTTCCTACCATAAACTCGATTTGGCTAGCAGACCATAAAACTTTCCCAAGTATTTTCCAACGAAATACGTACTACTGAACAAAAATTTATATCTACCATATCATACTAACGTAATATCCTTCATTAAGCTCTCTTGTATCAATTTGAAGCATACATCGATATTCCTACACACATATACACGCGCGCGCGCGCGCGCGCACGTCCAATAAGAATTAACACTTAAATACCTCTTTTGAAAATATGAAAAAATTTTATTAACAAAAATTGTTGTTCAGTATAGTAATTTTTTTTTTTTTTTTTTTTTTTTAAATCTGTTCCCCGTCAATTTAATAATCTATTTTAATTATGTTTTCAGCTCAAATGAAGAGGTTGAGAGATCAGATGGCTGGCATTTTGTCACATATTCCCGAGCAAGGTGTCGTGAATTGGAGCAAGATTCCTGAAGGAGCGAACACCACCTCCACCACCAAGGTTAGTCACGCGTAAATATTACGCTCATTTCCGATTGCCTCGTCCGGATAATCACTTGACTCACTTGACAAATTTGTTCCTTCAGTTAGAATCCTTTGTTACTTTGTTGATTTACTACGCATCTAGTCTTTGTACAATGAAACGCACATTCTCGATGAATATATTGTCAGCAAGCATATTCTGATCATTAAAATCTTATCTGCACCAATTCGTACTGTGCTTATTGGCAAAGAAAGTAATGAATAACAAATTATAATGATCATTATTGTATATGAATAATATCGTAAATATCTTGAAAAATTGGTGAAAATCATAAAATAGGGAATATGAATCCTTTCTCTTTTATTTTTCTTAACTTAAATTTTATTATTAATCTGTTTTTCTTAATGATTTATATTAGTGTTTTTAATGTTAAATTTTGCTTTTTTTGTTATTTACTAATGTATATCTTGTGTGTATATTCTTTTTACGTATGTTTTATTTTTTAATTCTGATTGAGCTTGTGTCTTTTATTTGAATATTTTATTTGAGTGTTTATTAAATACATGAATGTTTTATATATTGAAGTTGCAAACAAGTATTAAAATTATAGACAAGTTTAAATTATACTGGACGTATAATAATGATAATAAAATATAGTTGTCGCACTTTTAATGATCATTAATGCCTTTTATAAAATATACTAGCAATAGCAAAAATAATATCATTGAGAAGCTTTAGATGGTGCTTTTAATCGTCTTTAGATATTTTTATGAAACAATACTTCTATATCATTAAATTTAAAATAGATAAATTGAAAGCAAATGCCTGTTTCACCTGTGAAAGATAATATAATGAAACGAGATGGTCCAACTTCTATCATTATTCAAATATCATTTAATTAATAGGGTTGCTTAAGAGTATAACTTTTGCACATCAATGCTGATCGTGGGATGAACTATTTGTTGTACCATTTAAATTGACGTGTAACCTTTGGATATATATACATACATTTGTAAAAAGTATAATCTTTGAAATTCACTAAAAATTGTTACAATGAGTCTTCCATGCGTCTTCAAAATTTTTTTGAAACATGAAAACGAAAAAAATAAAATCCAAATGAAAAGATCTTTTCTATTATTATATATTATGATAAATACTTTGCTTTACACATTATGTCCATTGTGTATATGTCTGCAATTTCCCATGAGTGCATAATCAAAATTTAAAAAATTTCATTTAACACGTGAACAAACATTCATAGAACAAAGTTAATATTTCTCATTTTATCAGTTTAATTTGTACGAAATTGGTACGAGATTGACACAATACCTACAATAGAAAATAAATAATTAAATTTAATTAATTAAATAAATAATTAAATTGCTTATAAGATTTATATAAATCCAACTCTCACGTGTGTTTAGTTTCTTATCACGATGTTATTTTTTTAAATTTTATTTATTTGTTTATTTTAGATTTTCAACTTGTTACAACTACATTCAAAACTATTAATGCTTTGCTCATTTTCACTTTGGTACTAAATGTGTAATAATGTATAATAATGTAATTAAAAAGCAATATACTACTTGTTAATAATCTCGAAAACGAATATTTATAAATCTGGTGACATACTTTGTTATTAAAAATATCAAAATATATTAGAAAAATATTAGAAAAATAAATGTCCTTTGTACCTGTAAGTATACAAGTTCTAAACTATTACATAATAAGACATTTTACAAGACAAATGCGTTGAATTCGCACAAAGGACAGATGAAAGTTAAAGATTTATTTAATATACACGAAAGAAAATAATATAACTTAAAAAATGATATATCAGGAATATGGAGCTCGTTGAACTCGATAAACATTATTTAAATAATAATGCGTCACTGTGCCCGATATACATACAAGCATCAAATTAATAGTGCAGAAGACTTGAAGATATTGATAAAACTATCCCTCATCAAACAAATGTTTGCACTATACTTCTATTAACAAAATTTAGTATGCATTAAAAAAGGGACTACTTAGTATGACAGATTTTTAGGGATCTCTCTTTTAAAATATGAAACGTTTGATGTCCAAATATCGATCATCACTCATTAATCAATTCTCATTTAAATCATTACGTAAAAAGTGGAAAATATCCATGTACTAGATTTCAATAAGTTAGCATTATCTTATCACTGTAATACCAAGCATCGCATTAATGTCTCTCATTTTTTAAATGTACATATTTAAATTCGTAAATATAATTTTATATTAATAAATTCATTTGAAATAAACAGCATTAAATGCATTTTAAGCTTGTAGCTTTCTCTTCAATAAAATTTTACTAAAATGTCCTTTTTAATAAGCTAATCTTGGAACTGAAGTAGTAACGAAGATCATCATTTATATTTCAAATCTATTTTCTTAATTAGAATTATCTTCGTGGAATAACAATTAGTTATCTATTCAATAATCTTTTATTTTAATTTCTTTTTTAAATTGGCAATTCATTTATAAATAAAGTTTCGAAAAATTTCCTTAATTCTTTAATCGTGCTGTTCTCACTTTTCCATCACGTTCAGTAGTCATGATCTTCGATATCTTTTTTTTTTTTTTTTCACAGCATTTGTAAAATGGTCGTAAAATTTTATTGAGCACTGAAATCAAATGTTTAAAAGTTATGTATATTTTAATAATATTTGAAGAAAAGAAAAATACATTAAATGATTGCTACTCCAACTATCTATCTAGTCAATTATATCTATGAAATTATGCGTTATTTCGTTAGTATCACTATTTTTGCCTTAAAACACATTTAGAGTATATTCGTAGTTAGCAACGAATCGGTTAATTGCGTAGCTGTTTAAAATGATTTATTCGAGAATTTTTATTAAAATGATCACTATCTTTTTTCGTCTAGGTTATCAATGGACATGTGTTGACCATCAATGAAACAACCTATACCGATGGTAACGACGAATATAGCACGCTGATCCGCGTCCGTGTGATAGACGTGAGACCTCAGAACGATACTCTTCTGTTGACCGAAAGCGAGGCAGATGCCGAAGTGACCACTCTGCCTACAATCACGGTTACCAGCAAAGAAGACCGCACTACACCTTCACGAAGCGTGGAAACCGTAGAAGAATTCGATAACGAAATACCGAAGAACCAAGTGGACACTCTAACTGCTTAAACAGTGAAGAGAAACTTTAAAAGATAGCGTCTGGCTTATTGAATCCGGAGGATCGTTCCCATCATTCGTAAATTTCACAATTGAAAATTTCACAATTGGCTTCTATTTATGTTATATCGAATATCTTATGTATATGTCCATCGTTAAAGTATTTGAGATTATCGTGTACAGTATTGTGTTCAAAACACAATGTACAATCCTTTCACAAGCAATTTCTAATCTAAAATTTGTGAACAAAGATTGAGTTCCTTAAAATTAAATCAATAATTGTACAACCAGAATAACATACATACAGAATGATATACATTATTTCAATTGTATTTTTACAGTTACTTGTATATGTGCGTTGTACATTTACAACTTAATCGGATGATATTATACATAAATGCATAGCAGAAGAACGTAAGATATCCGTCCGTGACGCTCTTTTGGATTCAATACGACGACGTGTATGAGAAACTGTAAACCATCGCGAGGCAATAAAGTCGATTATTGTAGAGTTATATAGATGATATACATATATGTTATATGTTCTCCTATAGTTATATATACGTTATGTATTTAAGAGTTGCCTGTAACGAAGCAGATTGTTGTAACATTCAAAAGTATGCCTCCTTAAAGGTAAACGTATGAATTAAATTATACGTAGTTGCGTATGACAATCCTATTAAATTACCAGCAATAATAAAATCACAATATGCGTTTGTACACCATTTATAATATCCGTTAGTAGTGAATTTTGAACGGGAACTATTGAAGTTTTGATTAAATGAGAAGGTTGTGTGATCGTCCGATGTCCTTTCTTCTTCCAAATACAGATCTTTTCCTCTCCATAGTCAAATACATGCATGTAACAGAAATTTGATATTTACGTTCGTTCGTAATATGCAATCGAATTTTATTTATACTAATAAATCCTTGAAAGAAAATTAAAAAATTTTCACGTATATAAGTAAATATCGAACTACGTAAAACTACAGAATGGTTGATTGTGATTCAATCTTCGACTGAAGGAGGTTTATAAAATAAAATGAAATCTATTTTTTTATGAAATCAGGAGCAGTACAATCTAAAGCGTAGCAAATTATTTCGTGTGAAGACAGTTTTTTAATGGAACTTAATATTTGCATAAAAAATAAACATTGTTGGCATAAAATTGAGTTTTCCATTTAATTTTTCCTATAAAATTCTGTGACATACTTATATATAGTGAAATAAAAGAATATTAATATAAGAAATATATAAAAATTAAATTTAGAAATAAATTTAAGATCATGTCCAAAAATTATTACTACGTTATGATATTAAAGTCCATCTACACATAATAATAGTATTAAATAAGTAAGAAAAGTGAGTTTCCCTTTATTAATAAATTTAATATTGTTAAAGATTAATAGCAAATCTCTTTTCTTGAAAACTTTCAGATTGACTTCAACTTTTGGAATATATAATTCAGTACAATATTAGAATATCTAAAATTATCAAATGATGCAATATGCATTGCATTTCCATGCAACATACATTCTAAAGATTTCTTTAAAACATCCATTTCAAGCCTGAACGTCTAAATTTCTAATCTGGATAATTTGAAGCCATTTTTAAAATTTCTAGTAGCAAATATCTAATAAAAAATGTTCGAGAAGTTATTACGATTTAAAAGTACAGTTATGATTAATTGTTACATTGTGAATTTTCATGCATGCACGAAAAACTTAAAATTACAGAATTACAGAGAATGCACATAATCTAAAAAGATATGTAAAATGTTTAAAGTATACCATTTTTGATAATGTGTTATATTCCTTGAGATTCGAAAGATCATTTACTGTTGTGCGAAATGACTAACACTGTCTTTTCTTTATAATAAGTCTGATGACTTCTACTAGATTTAGAAAGTTTGGCTTGTCTGAATGACTAAAGTACTGACGATTGAGTTCGTAAGATACCCTTAGCCGAATATTGACTGACGTCTGATAATTAGTTTCTTGCTTTGATTAGAATGTTAAAAATCACTCTCTCTGATTTTCTTAAAAGTCCTATTTTATAAACTTTGAATTACTCTTCCCCAAAAGATTCTGAACAATTTTAGAACAGAAGATGTATTAAGACCAATCAAAAGGTATATAGAGAAAGTTTCCAAAATTTCCCACTGTCTCGGATGGGGATTGGATGGGGGACTGGATGGGGGTCTGGAAACGGTCACCTGGAAACTACACTGTTGCATGTACAATATTTCGAGTACACATATATTTATGACATGGCAATCCTTATGGTGACCTCGTCGCACTTCAGACTAATTAAAATTTATGGGATGTCTAATGGAAATCCTAAGTGACCTATAAGTATGTAAACACAAATGTTTGGACATTTCTAATTTGACACGCTGGATTGGAGTGTATCTATGTCAAGTAGTACGTTTTGCATAAAAACTTGCTCTCTATTCATTGCATTATTTCTAGAAAGCACGTAAAATATCTTAAAATTCCAAATTAAATCAATTTTAATTTAAAGATCATTTTAATTTGTAACATAAAGCAGAGATAGAGAATGTTTAAGACATTTATAGAATATTATCAAACTCTTTTTTAGACGTGGGTTATTACCTGAAATATCAAAATGAAATTACATAACATTATCTAGCATCACAAGTAACAAAATTTGATTCATAATTATTGAAATACAAAAAATTTGTATATCAACTTAAATAACTTGAAGATTTTTATGCCTAAAAATAAATAAATATTTTTATGAAGATTTTTATGTTTAAAAATAAATAAATAGATAATACTAATATATAAAGTGAAGTTATTTTAAAAAGAAAGAAACAGCGACTTTATCTTTCTCTGAAATTTTGAAATTGTGCAAGAATTAAACAAATTTAATTTATCAAAACGTCTCACGCTATAAAAGATATTGTTTGAAAATTTGAAATCAATAGAATGAATAGTAACCAATATACTATTATAGAATGTTGATGACAATTTAAAAAACGTAAGAATGAAACTTTTTTCAATTCTCTAAAATTAACTAGATCTTTTTAATTATATACTCATTCAACAAATCTTAGAATATATTCATAAATAATTATGAATACCAAAATACATTAATAATCTCGAAAATAACAATAATAATGATAACATGAAATATTAGCTATTTATTTATCTATATTTATATAATATTTATTAATTATAATATTTTAATATTTTGAGAACAATTCGAAAAATATTCGAATCATGTTTAAAATTCAAATTCAATAAATTCAAATTTTACATCTTTGATATCAGAAATGGTGACATTTATTCTAGTGATATTTCGTTTTGGCAAGTGTGTACCTTGATACTCGACGTTGTCAAGAATAAAGTGGCAAAATTCACCGTACAGGGTATAGCTGTCATGTGGACGTGTCGGAAACGGAGGAAAGTAAACGGGAATCATAGTCGCGACAATGACGTCGCGCGACAGGACCAATGAATTTGTTAACGCTATTCGAACAATGCAGAGCAGAACCGTAGCTCGAACAGCGATTTTGCAAAATCCTCGTCGAGCACGTCAATTACAGAGTTACTCAAACTTTATGTTGATAGCTAAGAGTATTGGAAAGAATATAGCAAGCACATATGCTAAACTAGAAAAGCTTGCATTAGGTAAGATTACAATGATTATTAAGCTCTTGCTCAATTTAGCACAGCATATTTATGTTAGTAAATAAAAGGATGAGATTACAGTGTAAATCCTCTTATCAAAATGAATTGTACCAAATCATGTATGCATATATGTTTTTTTATAATGTAGATGAAATTTAATATAGATTACATCAGTTAACTATTTGATTGAAGTGATGTTTTAATCATTGTTTGTTTGAAGTTCATTTTATGTTAAATTCTTCCATTTATTTTTGATTAAAAAAAAGATAACTTGTGTATACATGCAAATATATATATAATATATATTAAACTTAAATACATTAGATAAACATATTTATATATGTAACAATATACATTTATTAAATCAATTGTTTCAGTGGCAAAAAGAAAATCTATATTCAATGACAGACAAATGGAAATTGAAGAATTAACAAATATTATAAAAACAGATTTGAAAAGTTTGAATCATCAAATAGGAAAACTACAAGAACTTAGTAAAAAGCAACGGGAAGGATATGGTGCTTCTCAGAGTCATCACATGGCCTCGCATTCATCATCAATTGTTATGGCCTTACAATCAAAGTTAGCAAATATGTCAAATCATTTTAAAACTGTACTCGAAGTAAGGTCAGAGGTATGTAAGAAAAAGAAAAAACAAAGTATTAGAGTTAAGTAATAATTTTCCCAAAAATATATACAGAATATGAGAGAAGAACAAAGTAGAAGACAACAATTCACTCAAGGATCTGTATCTACCATGTTACCTCCAAGTGTAACTGGAAAACAAGGTTCATTGTTGCTGCAAGAAGAAAATTCGCCTTCTTCTGTAGCTATAGATTTGGAACCAGCAATGGGACAATTAACAATGCAACAAGCAATTCAAGATGATAATGTAAGCTATACAACATATATGATGAATAACGAGAAAATAATAATACTATTGGAAACATAAATCAGTTTATTCAATTATTAGGATACATATGTCCAATCAAGAGCAGAAGCAATGCAAAGCATTGAATCAACTATAGTTGAACTCGGTGGAATTTTTCAACAATTAGCACACATGGTCAAGGAACAAGAAGAAATGGTAGAAAGGTAAAAATTTTAATCATACATTATGAAATATGTAAAGAAATTATTATGATCAGGCATATACAGGATTGTCCATTTAGTGAGGCCACCTAAATATCTTTTAAATTATGATGATGCAAAAAATATTTTTCGCCTAGCATGAATAGTATCGAAAAATCAATAATTGGTAAGAATATTTTTTTCCAAGATCATTTTTTTTGGAGTTTTCAAGATCCAATGGTATATACCACTTATGACATGGGCGTACTTCAAACTCAACGTGTTAAATTAAAAAGTTTTAGACATTTTTGTTAACAACTCGCAATTGTAGGTCACTTAATTACAATTAAGCGCTTCATAAATTTTAGTCATTTTCAGATGTGTTTCAGTTTTTCCATGCAATAGCGATCGCCATGTTATAAACACGTACATATCCGAAGTTACCATCCAACAAGATGGTTTCCAGAAGATAATAGAACCGTTTCCTAAAACTGCCACCATTTTCCATCACAAACCACTATCATGGATGGTAATGAGAAGTTCTAAAAACCTTTCTTATACTTCTTAATTGGTTTTAACATATTACCCGCTTCACAACTCCTCAGAGTTTTTAGGAAAAGCAAATTAAGATTTGTTATATCAGAGAGCTCTAAAAAGACACAAGTTCAACATAAGATTCAGGCAACATAAGATGTGTGCAATTATTCAGAATTCAATTCAGTTTAGAGTTGAGTCATTCAAGTAGTCAGCTAAGTGTATCATCATAATCTTTTCTAGCAGTTTGAAATGCTGATTAGTATCAAAATTTGTTAGTAATTCATGATAGAATACTCAATGCAAGAAAAGATCAATATGATATTCATTTATGGCAAACATGTTTGAGAGAAGCAGTTCAAATGTACAAAAATACATTTCTTAATCGTAATTGACCATCGCGAAATACATACGCAAAGTTAGTCAAAAATTTTCGTGAAATTGTGGGCAGTTTCATGCGTGTGAGGATAGAAGGAAAAAATTTTCATTGAATGAACAAAGACTGGAAAGTAAATATAGTGCAGCATCTTGAATAATTAAATAATTATTCCGTATTTCATAAATGATACTTCAAATGGAGAAAAGTATGCAACATTTTTGCAAGATGGCTACAAATGCTCATGCATGATGTACCATTAGATATTCATCTAAGAATGTGGTACTATTGTATAGTTGTTCGACTGACGCCTTGCTAAGCAAATTTTAGATTATAAATTTCCAAATTGATGGATTGATTGTAATGGAGTTGTTGCATGGCCACCGCATTCGCC